ATTCCATTTGTTTTTGATTGGTTTTATGTGACGAAGCGTGTGTGGCGTGTGCTCTGCTGCGCTGTGGGCAGTGTGTGGTACTGCCTTCTCTTTTTTGCCGCTTTGGATTTGAGGACATGCGTTTCCTTATCGCGGCTGGGGCGCATGGCTCTTAGACTACGACTCCTCGCGTGCCTTTGGGGACCGTACGGACAAGATTGGCGACACGGGGTTCCTGGAGTTGTTTTCGAGCTCCTTTTGGCCCAGTGCGAACGGCCCCCGCCGCGGCAAGCGATGGCGGCGAGGAGGAGGGCGCATTCAAGCAGCCATGGCGGCGTTGCTGCTGTGGGCTTAGCTGCTGTGTGTTCTTTTATTTGCCGTCGTGAGGTGCAGGGGCGGGCGGCGCTGAGGGAGGCGCAGCGTGTGGGAGGGCGATGGTGGACACGCTGCGGCGCGCAGCAGAGGCGGGCGAGGGAAGACCCCGCAGCTTTAAGCTGTGCACGGCGTCGGCTGGCGCGAAGCTTCCCTTTGGGCTGCGTTTTTATTCTTCTCCTTTTGGCATCTTAGATGTTTTGGGGAACGGCAGTGCCACACTGAGTTCCGCCGTTCTTTCCCTCGCTCATTTCTTTCCGTTGCGCAGCTGCAGGCAGGCGCAACTGCGCGAACCCGGTGCGTCTGCACATTGCGGTGGGCGTGGGTGTTGATTTCGTAGCTGGTGCTGGCAGTGCCGTGGGACAGGTGCTGGCCTCTTTCCGTGGCGACGAAGAGGAGGGAAGTGACACAACCAGACAGAGAGTGTGCACTGCGCCCCTCCGTTTCCTTGCCGGTGTGGGGCGCTGCGTGCGGAAGTCTTGCACTTAGTGGCGTCGTGTCCCGCGCACGGTGTGACGTGGCGGTGCGGTGTGGGTGCTGCATCGTGAATGCTTGCGGCTTTCTTCCCGTGTGTGTGTGTATCCGGCGGGGTGTGTGTGTGCGTTGTGTGCCTCGTGTTGGCTGCGGGGCTCTGCAGCTATTTCCAGAGGCTGTGAACTGTTGTTTGCTGCGCGGCTGGGTGTGTTTGTCTCTTCGCTGCAGTTTTTGCTTCCTCTCTCCTTCCTCTTCCTCTCGTGTGCCTATTTTCTTCATCTCCGCTGTCTAGCAGCTCACATCATTGGCTCCAGCAACTCTACTGCCACTACTACTACTTCCACCTATGGCGATAGCTTCGGTGCAGCGCCGTGCCGTGTGCGCCGTGGCGATCCTCGCGCTGCTTTGCGGCTGCTGCTTCTCCGCGTGGGCAAAGGTGGCGGCGACGCCAGTGACTGGTGGAAGGAGCACAACTTTGCCTTCTGATGGGAATACGGTGATGGTGCCAGTGGATGTGTTTTGTCCGGACAATGCTGACAGGTTGTCCTTTCGTTTTCACGGGGGCACAAGGTGGATAGACTGTGTGCAACCAATTAAACGTGCGGCTCCACCTGGGGGCCCTACGGCTGCGTTTAAGGGGTACACCATTGATGGCCCGAATGTGTACTCCCCTGACAATTATAACAGCCAGGCTTCTGTGTGCAGTGCCGCCGAGTTGATGTACACGTCCCACAGCTGCAATGCCAAGTGTCCAGGCAAGGCAACAGTGAGCATCGTTGCATTCACAATGAGTTTGGCAGTCAGCGAAGAAAGTGGCTTGTATGGCGAGTGGAAGAAAACTACTTCCAGCGGTGCGGCTGCCTCTGCCTCTGCAGCAGCACCGAGCCGCAGTGCTGAACAGACAGGGGTCTGCCTGATACCGCCACCGGGTGATGAAGCCAATGGCAGGGATGGCGGGGAGACAACTGCCCGGCCAGAAGGCACCGCAGGGGAGGGTGACGGCCAGCCCACAGATACGCGGGAGCGGCGGCCCACAACTGAGGGGCCAGATTCAAGTTTCAGCGACGCACGGGACGGCGGTCAGAGCACCACGCCCAATGCACAGACCGGTGCGCCCAACACCACGAGTGAAGGCACCAACGATGCTGCAGCGGCCGGTGGTGCAAAGGACGGCGCTTCCGCAACAGGCACAGACACAACAGCCCCTGCCACCAGCCCCACTGTGAATGCCAAAGCCGCTGCCTCTTTGAACGAGACTCTGACAAACGCGGACAGCAGTGACACCGTCAATTTGTTTGTGCCAACACCACTGCTGCTGCTGCTGCTCGTGGCTGCCCTTGTCTGCACTGCTGGGTAATGGTGAGGGGCAACCACACACACACACACACACACACACCCTGGCAGGGACGACGCATACTCCTTGTGTGTTTCTTTTGTCTATCATCCCTGTGGGCCAATCTTCTTCTGTGCTGCGAGGGATGTTTCCTTCTTTGTTTTTTTTTTTTTGGTTTTCCTGCTTTGTCACTTCATGCACATTCCCAATGGGTGGCGCCCCTTCCCCCTTCTGTTTGCTGCTGCCGCCCACACACGCGGTGCCGGCCTCGTGGCTGTGCGTCGCACGGAGTGCCCAAACGAGAGACGAGGCCGCGGGCACCGTGAGGGGAAAATGTGACGTGTGACTGTGCGACCAGGCAGTTATTTTTGTTTGTTTGTGCAGGCGGCGATGAATATATACACAGACTTTCCCCCAGTACCTTTCGACATGTGAAAGAACAAAATCAGCGTCTGCCGAAGTAAGTTATTTTTCTGCTTTTCTTTTCGTCTTGCTAGGTGTCCTGCTGGACCCCCGCTTTTTTTGTTTTAATTTTTTTCTTGGGTAAATCACTGCAGCTCACTTGTAGTTCCTGCCGTGTCCGCTGCTGTCGCTGCGTGTCTCCGTGTCGTGTTTGCTTCCGCTGCCGGCTGTGTTTGTGGCATGCCTCCTGCTTCACTCTTCTTCTGCTAGGTGCACAGGTGGTGCTTGATGTATGGCTGCTTTTCAGGCAGGGACACCGCTTCCCGTTGCGGTGGTGCCCGAGAGCCGCGCGTCCCGGCATCGCTTTGTTGCTGCGCGCCATGGGCGTGTCCGCCGCCCAGCCACTGTGGCTCTCTGCGGAAGGGGAAACGCCGCCTTCTGGCGCTGCTCGAGTGGAGGTCCGACAGACGCCGTTAACGGTGAGTCGACGCACCAGCGTGCATATGTGCTGTCGTGTCGCTCACGCCCGTGAGATTTAACTTCCCCAACGCAGTGGGGTTTATTCGGAACGGGAGTGTGCGCCTGCAACACCGAGCCTCACGCTCCACGCGCTGCTGTGGATACGTCGGTGCGTTTCCTGCGGTTACTTCGCTTGTCCGATAGCGGGGCGAAGTCGCACAAGCACAATGAATGAAGAAAAATTGCGCCAGCTGGGGGACGGAGGAGGAGACGGGTCGGAGGGAAGAATGCCAAACACAATGCGAGAAGACGCTCCATCGCAGTTGTTGTGTGCATTGCGATTTACACGGGTTGCCGAGGGAGATCTAATTTGCTTTTGTTGGTGTGTGGGAGGGTGCCGTGATGCATCGCTCTTGCGTCGTATGGGATTGGGGGTGCCTATTTGTGTGTGCGTGTCGTGGCGTTGTTCTCGTCAGTGTGGGGCAGTAGCCGATGTTGGGGAGTTTGTGGGGGCCTGCGATGGGAGGTCTTGCTGGCATAAGCACTGCGTGTCGCCGCTGGCGCGGCTTTAAAGGGAGGCGGGACGAGTTGTCTGTGAATTTGTTTTTGTTTTGATTTTGTTGGGGGCGTCCCAAACTGTGGACTCTCCATGCGGGTCATCGTGTGACTCACGCGTGTGTCGGTGCGGCCTTCATTTTGGACTGTCGCCGCTCTTTGCGTGGGGCCTGCTGGGGAGGAAGCTTTCCGGCACTTGTGCCTTTGACTTATTTTTTTTCCTTTGCGTGAAGGACGTAGGTATTTGCGGCGTGTGTCTTGTGTGGGGCGTGTAGAAGAGTCATTCTTTGGGCTGTTGTTGCTCCTCTTTTGCTTCACGTCTCTTGTTCACAGGCATATATACACACACACAACCGTCGCGGCTTGGGCGTATTTACCGCACGGAGGGAAGGAAGAGAGGGAGTGAGCGACACATGCCGAAGATGTCCCGGTATTTGTTTTTTTCTGCGGTGCTGCTGCTCCCCGTTGTGTTGTTGATGTGCTGTGGAAGCGGTGAAGCAGAGGCTGCTGACAAGAGTTTAAGAAGCAAGCTCTTTGAAGGAGGAATAACGGAAATTCCCGATGTAAAAGATCCCGGTGGGGCGAAGAAAAAGTTTGACTCGTTCTCTTCCCCTGTTCTGCTTGACGTGCATGGTGTGATTGTGGCCTTCGCTGAGGCGCATTACAAGGGTACAGACGGTACATCCTTCACCGCGCTCGCCACACGGTCCAAAAAAAGCGCTGAAAATTTGTGGACGGATGGCAAGGCGATGGTGAGGGACGCCTTCGACAGCAAGGTTGCCCGCCTGGTGTACCCAACCCCGATCACCGACAACGAGGGTGCAAGTATCCTTCTTGGAGGCTATGGTGACTGGGGAATCCCCTTGACAAAGTCAGCCGGCTGCTACCACTGGAAGCCTCGGTACGGGTGGGGAGATTTTTCAAAGGAGAAGGACGAAAGGGAGTTTGATTTGCATAATGACTTGTCCGACGTGTCTCGCGACGGCGTGCACAAAATTTACGGCACTTCGTACATGCAGTACAACGGCGGTGGGAGTCCCGGCATCAAGATGACGAACGGGAATTACGTGCTCCCCGTGCAGGCTCTGAGTGAGGACGAAAAGAACGTCTCGCTGGTGCTGTACTCCACGAACACCTGGTACGGCCTGACATTCTCGGCGGGCAGAAGCCATGCGGGCTGCACCCGCCCCGCCGTTCTTGAGTGGGAGGGCGGGAAGCTTCTCGTAATGGCATCGTGTGCGGACGGCTACCGCAGGGTGTACGATGTCCATTTCAAGGAGAAGACATGGGCGGAGGCCGTCGATACCCTTTCGGGCGTGTGGGGCAACTCACTGAACCGTAAAGGGTACGGCGTCCAGGGCGGCTTCATCACAGCGACCATTGGTGGAAAGAAGGTCATCCTCCTCAGCCAGCTAGTGTACCCTAAAGAAAAAGAACAAAAGGGGCAACTGCACTTGTGGCTCACCGACATGAAGCGAATTTATGATGTTGGCCCGATCTCCACTGAAGGCGAGAATGCCGGCGCTAGTACGCTGCTGCACACCGCAAATTCAGACAAGAAGGAAGAAAAACTCTACTGCGCCTACGAGACCTCCAGCGATGGTGCTGGCAAGCAGGATGTTGTGCTGGTGGACCTGGGGGTGCAGCTGGCGGAAGCAAAGAAGGTGCTCGAAGTGTGGGACGCGAACGACATGTATGTTTTGGGGCGCCAAGGCTGCGCTAAAATCGTGTGGGCGGAGCCGGGCACTGCGACCCAAAAGCCCGTTCCGCTGAGGTACGTGCCGGCCGGCTTTTTGTCCAACAATACGAATGAGACTGTGTGGAAGGACGAGTACCTCGGCGTGAACGCTATTGTGGAGGGCAACCTGACAGCCACAAAAGACGGTGTGAGGTTCTACGGGGCCGGCGCACAGGCGCGGTGGCCTGTGATCGAGCAGGGGCAGAACCAACACTACCACTTCACAAAGTACGGGCTCACACTTGTGGCGACAGTGACCATCCACGCGAAGCCATCTTCCAGCATCTCTTTGATGGGGATGAGGGTGAACGACGACAAAAAGCCCATTTTGTTTGGCTTGTCGTACACCAACAACAATAAGTGGGAGGTGACGACAAAAAAAGAGACCAAGATAACGCCACTAAAGACGTGGGAGCTTGGAAAACCGTACCAGGTGGCACTGACGCTGCAGTCGAACGACTGGCGCGTGTACGTGGACGGCGAGGAGGTGCAGAGGGGCAATTTTGAGGAGTACCTCTATTACCCTCTGCGGCACTCCATCTCGCACTTCTACTTTGGCGACGAGGGCAGGGAGGCCACGACGGGCGGGCACATGACAGTGGGCAACGTTTTTCTCTTCAACCGCCTGCTGGACGCCGGCGCACTCAAGTCACTGAAAGAGAACACTGCCACCGCGCTGCAGAAGGACCCGAAAGCTAAACCGTCCTCCAGCCCATGCAACACACCCATCTGAGGGCCATTGGCACCACTGCAGTTAGGGGAAGAGGAGTAAGACCGGCAGTGGGCGAGGAATAAGAGGCGATGCCGTTTTTTTTTTTTTTTTGAGGTTTGTCACTGCTCGTCTGGAAGAAAACAAAAATAAAAATAAAAATAAAAATAAAACAAAAACAAAAACCGACGTGAAGGAGGAAGCGCCACACGCCACAACTGTGAGTCTCCGGGACCGCAATGATCCCACAGCAGCGCACAACCCCACAGCGACGGCAGGGAGGCCAAACATCAGCGTCAAAGCGAACCCCGTGAAAGATGCCGCAAACATCCCCGCAACCGAGACACCGCAGCCTGCTGTTGCTCCAAGCAAGGAAACGATGTCGCTGAGCTTTGATGCCGCAACGCAGCGGCGCTCCCTGGCAACAGTCTCCGCCCCTTCACGGGGCACTACGGCGTTGGGTGCGGAACACCACAAACAATTGACAGTAGTGTGCGGATACATGTGTGTGTGTCTCGGGTGCTACTGCCTCCGCGTCTGGGCCTCTCTGCTGGGGGGTCAAGGAACACGAGATTTTCGCAGCTTGATGAAGAAAAAGAAAAAAAATAAACAACAAACTAATGCTTCCCCTCACCATTTCTTGCTCATCATACGGATCTCTTTTTATTATTATTTTGCTTCTTGCGTGTGAGCTCCCATCAGGAGTCGGAAGCGAAACAAAAAATAAGAACAAAATATATGAAAATCTTTTTAGCCATTACGAATTCTTTTGCTGCTACACTCACTCTCCCTACGCCGAGTCGTGTCTCCCCTCATGATTGTTGGCGCCTCCAGCCCTCACGCACAGGCGCGACAGTGCGCTGAGTACTGCAGGGGACGCCACGGAGCTGGAAACAACAGCAACGCCACGCGGAGGGCCCAATGAAATGCAACTGACTGCGTGGACATGCAGGGGACCACAATGAGGTGAGACAAACACTACTTTTCTTCTTGCGGGCATATATATATATACAGATATACGTAAAGAGTAGTTTTTTTTTTTGCAGCTGCACGCCGGCACAAATGCCCGCTTTTTTTTTTTTTTTGTCGGAGAAAACATCATAAGGGACGATGCTTTTTTTTCTTTTTATTTGGGGGTAGTGGGGGATTTATGCACAGTGGAGGACGCTTTTTTCTTTTTTTCTTTTCATTATATTTCCAGTGACTGCAGCACCATCTTCAACCCCAGTCGTATTCTTTCACTTTCTTTCCGTCCCGCACCTCTGCTGCGTGTATGTTGTTGTGTGTGCCCTCTCTCATGCATGACTCTTCTCCCTCTTTGTGTTGCGTAGCTGTAGGCACACACGCAGGACCACACTGCCCACAGTGCATTTATATATTGCGGGGTATGTGGATGCTGCTTTTGTCGTTAGTGCTGTCAGTGCTGCGGTTGGCTGCCGGTCTCCTTCCGTGCCTGTGAAGGGAACGACGGCCGACAAGTGAGCGTGCACTGCGGCTCCTCTTCTTTCGGCTTTACTGGCGACTCAGAGGGCCTCAAATGCCTGCATTACTTACAGGTGTATCGTGTCAGGTGGGCTGTGCGAAATGTGAAGGCGGAACATGCTACTGCGGCGATTTCTCTGCTTCCGGGTCGTGTGGTCAGTAGTCGGGTCCTCGGACATCTAGAGACGCAGCCGGGCTCCCAGCTCTGAAGCCACGGCAACGCCTGGTAGAGCGAGAGCGGCCTGCCAGAGTGCGTGCCTAGCAACCGACATTGTGCCACTGCAAGGAAAACGTTTCCCTCGCATACGCAGGAAGAGAAAAAGTGCGAGGGTCGCCTCTCTCGCGCCCTCCGTAAGAAGACATATGTGCTTTGCTTGATGCGCTTCGGTCCCATACGGCCACGGCGTATGACCCCACAGCGTCTCAGATACCCATGTGCCCCTTTCCACCACACAGCTCCTGGGGCGCGGCACGACTCACGCCCGGGTTTGTTTAGCCACTTTCAGCGGCAACACCCCGTGAAGCGTATTTGTGATGACTGTGGAGGGGGCGCTGAGGAATTGGTGCCAAGGCCTCCTCGGCGAGAGGGGCGGCGCCCGCGCTGCCTCTCCACCTATGCCGCAGTGCACCTGAAAGATCTACGTCGGAAGATTTTATGACTTGGCAAACAAAGGCGCAAAAACGCGTCGTGATTTTGCAACGGCCTGCGCGAGGAGGCGGCGGAGCACGTCCTCTCCTGTATGGTCCTTGCAGCCCGCCGGCCGCTTCCGGCTTGGTGGTGGGGGGCTTGACTTTGTCCAGCCACAGGCTCGGTCCCCTTGTGGCCTGTTCGGCCTTTGCGTTCCCTGATCTGTCCCAGCCAGCGGCTGCATGGATGACGGCGCCAGTCCGTTGGAGGAGGGTGCGCCCTTTGTTTTATAGTCCATTTTGTTTTGCTTTGACTTCGCATACTCCCATCCGTTTGCAGTGGTATGTGCCACAGAATCCGAGTGTTGTGTAATTTCTCCGCTCCCATCACTCTTCGGAGGAGCAAGCGGATGCGGCGAGAGCGCTCGGATTCGACCTCCACCTCCCTCGCGCGAAGAGGAAGATGTCATTGCTGAACTCCGGAAGGGTGATGGCGTCACACCTGCAGAGGAAGAAATGGTTGCGGTTGAAAAGAAAAGACTTTTAGAAATGAGAGAGCGCGGAGCGTGAGTCGATTCACTCTGTGCTCTGTCATTGCGGTGTTTCTGTGCTTCATACTATACGTTTTGTCAGGCATCTTTGGCCAATTTGCCTTCGGCAGCTGTGTCACCGTCTCCGCTCTGCTGCTGTACGACCCAGTCAAGGAACCGGCGGTGATGGTGGCATACGTTGGCGTGCTGGTGAAGCAGTGCGCCTTGTACCCTATTTTCACTATGGCCGCCTGCAACTCGCTCTGCCACAGCTTTGGGTGGAACGCCGAGACACCGCCGCCCCTTCTGGTACCGCCGGTGCAGCTGCCACTGGGCTCGGCAGCGGTGTGCAGGGACCGCGCTCCCGAGCAGAAGGCACACGCGAATGCGGATGCTTCAATCCTTTTGGCCAGTCGGCATCTTGTGCTCAACAGCAGCGGTTAATTTCCTTTTTTTTGTTTTAATTTATTACCAAATGCCATGCTGCATGGGAAACACATGTCAGCTAACCCTGCCAATGTGGATGGGCGTGTGCAAACGGCGCAGCAGGGGCGAGGTGGTTGGTGTGGGGGGCGCCAGAAAAGGCGCGAGGGCTTTCGAGGAGGCTCTGCTTGACGGCGGTGTTCCGGGTGTGCCAGTGGTGGGGCGGTTTTGGATTCGTTGCATTGTTTGTTTGTATTATTATTATTTACCTTTTCTGTTTTCCGGTGGTCCGTGTTTTGCAGTGTGCCCGAGGCGGGGACGACGCGCAGATCAAGTTTGCACGCCGTCTGTGCCTGTTTTGTGTGGTGCATTGCTCTTCTCTCAGGCGTTGTAAAGCGCCTCTATCAGGCGGAACTAGACGGAAAAAGTGAGGGAAGGGAGCATCGCCGAAGCTGACGAGGCATAAGTGTAACGCTCTTGTCTTGCTGTGGGTGCGGGGCGGCCTATGCTACTCCCATACGTGCATACTTGCATACACACACATTCTGTACCGCCTGCGGTTGATCTTTCTGGCCACACAATGACGGTGTCTGCGCTCGTGGATTTCTTTTGCTTTTTAATTTATTGTTACTTGGCGTGGGTATGGATGGTTTGCGGCTTCTTTGTGAAAAAGTAGTAAGAAACAAAAAGGAATAAAATAAAATAAAATGGGAACGCAGACAAGTAAAAAACAAAGTGAACGTCATGTGCTGGCTGAGGCGCCCAAAGTTGCCGTCACGTCGTTGGACAGAGCACAGCTGGAACTGAAGCTGCAGCGTGACAGGCTTATGGCTGCGATTAGAAGATACGAAGTTGTTGCGCGGGAGGAGCGTACCAAGGCTGGGGATTTCTTGCGTGCTGGCAATCGTCGTAAGGCGTTGTACTGCCTCAAGCGGGAAAAGATACAGCAGTCACAAATCACAAGTGTGACGGACATGCTGGACAATGTACAAAGAGTGCTTGACACCGTTGAGTTTAGCCAGATTGAGGTGGAGGTGTTGGATGCGCTAAAAGGGGGCAAGGACGAGCTTTCAAAGCTTAATGCGTTGTTGAACGTGGACGACATCACCGAGTTAATGGATGATACCGCAGAGACAATCGAAGAAGCCCGTCGCATCAACAATGTCTTGGCACAGCCGCTAGCAGGATACGAGGATGAGGACGCCCTTCTGGCGGAATTGGTTTCCCAAGGACCCACCAATGCCTTTGCTGCAGAGGTTGCAGTGGAGAATGTGGCCATTCCAACACACAAGCTCGCGAAACCCACGGTAGTTGAGGGTCATGCAACTGAGGGAGCGTCTGAAAAAATTGGGCTCGCTGCGTAGTGGGGGAACGTGCTTCATTTCAATGGAGAAGCTGAGGGTAGAGGCGAAGGTGCACAGTTATTCTTCTGCTGTTTCAATCCTGATGTGCAACCTACGGGCAGTGAACTCAAAAATTGGAGGTGACCCTGCTGACACGTGCACAAAACAATTCCACTGCACCCGACAAGATCCTCTTTTAGTTCTCTCTCTCTCTCTCTCTCTCTCCTCCCCACCTCATATATATATATATATATATATATATGTGTCTACTAGTATAATGTTTCTGGGGACGGTGCTTTCCGTGCCTTACCCCCGTGTCTTTGCCTCTTTAGCCTGCTACAGCTTCGTTGTTATTGTGCTTCCTCCCTTGGCCTCTTTTTCTCTATGATGGCTCTGGCCGCGCGGGTCTTGCTAAGGAGCCGTCCAAGGAGGGGGGAAACGAAGAAGAAAAATCAACGGTAAAGAAGAAGGGCAAAACAAAACAAAAGCGATACATACGCACGGGAGAAAGCAGCAAGAACAGCAAAGCAAATAACTCGATGCTTGGTAGAATTTTTTTCTTTACATCGTGTGCCTCGGTGCTTGCGGGCACAGCGTATGTTGTCGGCATCGCCCTCAGCCCTCCTCCTTCCTACACAGTGAACAACCGGCAGCGGCTTGAACGGTACAACGCCCTGTCGCACGAAAACGCCTATGAAAAACAGACGCGCGGGCAGGAATTTTATCTTGGCATCAGTCGCTGGCGGCGTCGCATGCTGCGGGATGAAGGTTTAGTGCATGGCCGTGTCCTGGAAGTAGGCGCGGGTTGTGGTGGTAATGTGAATTACTACGAAGCACTGTTGCGCGCGCCGTCAACGGTGCAGTTGCAGGAGGCGAATGCGGGGGGAACAGCCATGGAGTCGAGTCAAACCCAAGCCCCAGTGGTGGAAATCGTGATGAGTGATCGATCCTCAGGTATGGTGGAGTCGACCATCCGGCAAATCCAGCAACGCTACGGTTACACCCCCTATCGCTACCCTGACTATGACGTTGCTGGCATTCTGGCCACGGTGGAAAAAAATGCTGCAGCACTACGCAGTGGCGGGGGTGTGATCAAGCGTAAGATTATCCATGGTGATGGTTCTGTGGTGGAGGTTCTTTCCACGCCGCTAAACGACGGCGGGGACGCATTTGCGGATGGTACAGTGGCCCCCATTCTGCAGGGTGCTCTTCCTGGCAATCAGCTTCACCTGTTGGATCAGAGCGGTCAAGAAGAACTAAACCGGCGGGAGGCAGAAAAATGCATGAAACAGAGTTTGGTGGATGGGAGAGCCACGAATGAATCAATCTTTGCAGTGGCAAATTACGCAGCGGAGCAAATGCCTTTTTCAGACAACAGTTTTGACACCGTAGTGGATATGTTTGGTCTCTGTAGCTTTGACGACCCGGTGCGCGCGCTGCGTGAGATGTCGCGGGTGTGTAAGCCAAGTGGAAATATTCTTTTACTCGAACACGGCAAAGGGCGGTGGTTGCGCATTAACGACTACCTTGACAAGTGGGCCCCGCGACACGCGAAAAACTGGGGATGCTGGTGGAATCGTGATATCAGACGGTATTTGCGTCTTGCAGGGCTCACAGTGGTGAAGGTGGAGGAAAAACACTTTGGGACCTCGCTATACATCGTAGCCAAGCCGTTCAAGTCGATGGATGAATGGGACGCCTACAATAGCAAGCTTGCAATGAACTGATTCGAAGTGGATGCCAATATGCCTCTCTGCCAACCACTCTACGAGATGCGGGAGCGAAGAAGCGTGGCCAAGCACAACGTGATTTAGTGGTGGGTGGGGGAAATTCTCTTGATAACCTCACAGGGATGACCCTTAAGCGCATGTGCGTGTGTATGTGTTCCTGGATTTTGTCAAATGAGAGCCCATGGAAGAAGTCTGCGGCCTGCGGCAGCCCTATGCGCGAAATCGCGTTGTGCTTAAACACCTTAGCTTGGTTGTACGTGATGTGGGTTTTTGTTGTTTCAAAGATGCCGCGGTGGAAGCGGTGGCGTGTGTGTGTTTTTTTTTTTGCTTGGTCTTTTTCCGCCTCATCACTAGCCTCCTTATTACTGCTACTGCTGCCCTCCACACAGGAAAGGGTTTGGCAGCTGCGGGGGCGGCTTCACTAAAGAACGCCACTTTGTCAGCTCACACTGAGAGCTCCGGGAAATCATTTGCCGTATGCTGTTTAAACACATCCTGCGTGTTGCTGGCTGGCTGGCTGCGGTGGATAACTCGCATCCTCGGTGTGTGGGTGGTTGGGGCGTGGGCATTTTGAACTAAACCAGCATCTTCCATTGTGTGGGGACCCGCGCTCGTTGTGGGATTGGGAGGGATGCGGCCTCCGCCGGGGTGTGTACTGCCTTTATCCTCCTTGTTCCCTTTCCCTTTTACTCTTCACGCCACTCCCTCGCAACTTCCACGCATGGGTGGTGGTGGTGGTGGGGAAATAAAAATGTCCGCCAAAGAAAGAGATAAAAGGGGGAAAAACAAAAAGCAAAAAAAAAAGAAGATAAAATACAAAAAGTTGCGTTTTTCTTTTTTGTTCCGTGTATCTTTGAAAGTTCCAAGGCGCTAATGGCGCTTCTCTACCCTACACTGGAGGAACAGGCAACACTCGTTCACTTTGCGACACATCTCGTTGGATGCTCAGCCGAGGATGTCGAGCTGCTTGGCGCGACCTGCGCCGCACTCCTCGTTGACACGGACGTCGTCAACGAGTTCATCTTCAGGACGTTTCCCGCGGCCCTGCATGAGGCGGCGCCACAGCCGCAGACGAAACCCAACGTGGCGCTGCCGACCGCCAACTACTGCCGCGGTGGCATACCACTTGTTCTTGTGCCTTACTCAGACGCCCCGTTGCCGGAGCGCGCTCTGATTTACAACACAGAGGAGGTATTTCGCCCCCACGAGGCGGCGCTGCGGGCGCTGCAGCTACGACTGCGACGTGGAAGAGCTGCGATGGCGCAACTCAACGAGAAGCATAACTACGCCTTCACCGTGGTGACCGTCGGTAAACGTGGGGAAGAGGTGGATGGTAAGGAGGCAACGGTTTTAACTGGCACAAAGGTGGGCGTGCAGGCTGTATCAGCAGGAGAAGAGACGCAGAAGGATTCTGGCGACACACCTCCTGCCGCCAACGGAGGCGCGGAGGAGTGCGGAAGGGGTGGGCGCTGTGTGTGTATGGCCTTCATGCTGTTTTTGCAGACATTCGACGCCTTCCTCGCGTGGGTGTCAAGTCTTATGGAAATTCTGGACGGCGAAGGGACTGCGCCGGCGGTCGGGACGTATCACGTGCATGATCAATCGGAAAGGGAGAACACAAGGGACGGGGATGAGAGTCACACCGGCGGCGAACAACACGGCCAGGTGGAAGGTAACTCGGGTGCCCTTTCCGCATCCCAAATCGACGCTGCCGCTCCCAGAAAGGAGTCGTTGCAAGAAGCGGGACAGGGCAGTGCTGCAGCGCCAACGTCTTCTGCCAGGCAGGAATCCGCTACCCTGCCACGACGATCTCACACAGTACGCGTGACAAGGTACGAGTTGCATGATGTGAATAGCATCTTCCAGGTGCTTCAGAACCAGGCGAGTCTATTTTTTTTACCGGAGTACACATCGTATGATCCTCGCCTGCAGCGGCGCTTACTTTCCCCGGAATACTACGGGGCCCTGCGTGAAACGATTCATAACATCAGTCAAGAGGTTGAGCGTCTTCGGCAGCTTGGAGCGTCATTAACTAAGGCGCGGTCAAATGGAGCGATCATCATTTTTTGTCCCGCAATTTGTAACTTCTGCTTTCTCAGAGATACGCTGAAATTGTACTGGAGCGCGTGCGTCACCGATGACGACATTACATCCCTCCAATACCACCGGATGCAGTACAACAAATGTGTTTTGGAGGTGGGTGAAGTGTTGGAGATGCTGAAGCAACTGCGGCGTCCCCCAGTACGCGTCGCCACTGAGAGTAGTGGTGTTGGTAGTAGTAGTAGCAGTAGTAATATCAATAATAATATTAGTTGTGGCACCCCCACCCCTGCCCCCTCCTCTTTCTCCTCCTCCAAGGAATGGGTAATCACACCAGAGGAGCGTGGCGCCATAGAAGCAGGGTTTACGAGTTTTTGGTCCATCCGGGCGCGCGTGTTTGAGCTGAGTGACTCACTTTCTAGAGATATTGAGGAGAAGAATCGTACACATCGCTGCCAAATGCCTGCACCACAATCTCCCTCCGCCACTGCGGCCACAAACGTAGTTGCAACAGGCAACGGGTTTACGCAGTGGATGATGTCAACTGTGCGAAACTGGAAGCAGCTTGTGACGTGTGGGGTCGAGTTGCCTGAGGATTCGTCCTCATTGACGTGTGACAGCAGGGGTTGGCACCGTTTCAAACATTCACCACGGTATGAACAGAAGGCGGAACTGCAGCGTCTCGTGCAGCGCCTGGTGAAGGCTGTGGAGGCACAGGCAACAATTCTTGAGCGTGATTACCCAGGAGCCTTCTACAGAGATGTGAAATCGAAGTGGGCACGGCGGGCAGGCGGCGTCATACGTTACTTGGAGTCCATGAGCATTGTTTTCTCTCCTCCTGCGTAGAGTGCGCACGGTGCTTCATTGCGGTCATGGTAAAAATTTTCTTGCTCTGAAGCACAACGCAGCACCCCTACCCGGTAATGGTTAGCATGCTTATAACAGTTTGCTTAGCTTTGGGGGTTGGCGCTCAGTGTTTTTTTTTTTTTTTTGTGGATGGGTTAAATGGGGGGTTGCTGCCTTTTATGCATTGTCGTTTTTTGCTTCCCACATACACCCCGCTAGCGCGGCGGTGCTGGGTTGCACTTGGCGTCCGCGTGTTGGACTGTATTCTTTTTTTCCCCTTAGCGACTGATGCGAGCAAGTCGGAGTTGGTGGAATTCTGGTGACGACAGCGCGACCTTGCGTTATGCGTCGTTCTTGTCAGAGTCCGCGGACGACGCCTACCCGGCCCTGGCAGAGAGAGTGTTTCTCCTCTACAACAGTGCCACCAGGGAGGCCAAATTCGACGTTGTGCTGCTACATGGGCTTGGAAGTGACGAGTTTAAGTGCTGGACTAACGCAGACGGCCTCCTTTGGCCCGCAGTTTTTCTTCCACAGGAGTTTCCGCAATGCCGCATTCTTTCCGCCGGATACACACACACCCTCTGGAACTGGTCGTCTTCCGAAAAAGTGAGGGCCAAGGAGATGGAGGAGATGGTGCAGCGCGAGGGTGAATGGACAGCCAGCTCCATTCGGAGGTGGGTGGCAGAGGCGTTGCAAGGGACGTACACTGCCGTTGGCGGCGACGCACGCGATGACGGCCGCAGGGAGGAGAGGGAGGACCCTCAAGCTTCGTTAGCCGATGATGCGCTGCCTCCACGCTCAGCCACCTCGTCGTCAGGCGAGGGCGAAGGTGAGCAGCAGCAGTTGGAGAGCTGTGCCGCAAATCTGGCGGAGCGACTTCTCTCCGACGCGGTGGGCGTCGGGAGACGGCCCGTCATCTTTATCGTTCACTCGCTGGGTGGATTGGTGGTGAAACAAATGATTGTCCAGGTAGACAAGGCGGTGTCGCTACGCCTTGCGGATGCCAAAACCAGCATGGACGCGGCGACAAAGCAACGCTGGCAGGGTTCTGGACCATTGGAGGCGTCCTTCCTGCGCTTGCTTAGAGGCATCGTGTTTTACGCTACACCGCACTTTGGGGCCCCGATTGCAAGCGTCGTGACGGGGCTGAAACGATACTACCAGTCCATCGGTGGCATGGTTCCCTCGCCGCTAGTCGCCGCGCTCGGTGACCACAGCAGGGAAGCACTGCTGAGCCTAAATGAACAGTTTTTCCGGGTGATTGAAGGTTGCAGCGACACCGGCTACGTCCACGTTCTCTCCTTTGGAGAAACCCGACGCCTGAACGGCGTCCTGCGCATCGTGGAGCCGGAGTCTGCCAACCCCGCACCGGATGATCTGCGTTTTCCGTTTTACCTCATTGATGCCGACCACATTAGCATCAATCGGCCCGTGTCGAAGGAGCAGCCAGGGTACACAATTTTATTTGGATTTCTTAAGCGCATGCAACGCAGCGGGTTACTTGATCCCAAGGGAGACAGCAAGGTGGCCACCGTCGCCGGAGAGAATCCGAGGCGGCAGCACGAGGGAGAAGCCATTGACAAGGTAGCTGCTGCAGGGGCGGGAGAACCGTCTCACGGCGATGTTGCCATTCCTCATGCTGAGAATAAGGATAACCTTGAAGTGCGCATGCTGCTTAACCTGCTGGATCACCGGGTGCGGCGGCTGCGAGCGCATGCCGCGACCCTCTTTGGCTACATGATGCCTATGCAGCTGAACAGACTCTTGGCGTTGGCGAAGGACATTGTTGACTACGCCGTCACATCTTTTTCCTTGACAGAAAACGCGAATGAGGCCTACCTGCTGATACCACTACGCCTTATTGTCTACTGGGCGGAACGAGCTGTTTCTACGTTAGAGAACTTCCTCCTATGCCAAGCCGAATGCTCTGTTATGCATCACTTTTCTGCCTTGGAGAGTCGTACACTGCATGACATTGATTGCGGTGTGGCGGCACTGCGGCGTGAATGGGAGTGGTTTCATCTGCAGCTCTGCCAGCCGCATTTCCTTCCTGACAGTTATCTCGTAGTGATTTTTTTTTCACAATCCGTCACGCTTGCTGTCGCGGATGCCATGATGAACGACGTTGGGTGTTTGCTTGTATTGGCCACTCGATGTGTGCCGGAGGCCTGCGGGTGGAAGCCGGATGCGGCGATCTCGTGGGGGTCACAGGAGACCACCGCCTGGCTTCCACCCTCCGTCTCCATGGTAGGTGCATTGCTTACTGGCTGGATGTGCCTCGGCGTCACACGCAGGTACCGGTGCGCCATTGCAGCATTCCAGCGCCTCCTCCGAGATTTAGAGCTGCTGCAGCGGGATAAAGACAACCTTCCACAAGGAGCAGCAACCAGTTTCCCCCGCGTGCGGCCTAGAATCCAGGAGGCCAACTCTACATGGTGGTGGAGCAGGGGTGAGGGTGGGGACGGTAGCAAAGCAAAGACGATAAGTGCAAAAGGAAAAAACGATCTTTTACAGGTGTTTGCGTTGCTGGCGCATGCCGGTCTGTGCTGGAGTCATTTCCTGCTTTCCCAACACGCCGGAGTGGTGACCGCCTCTATGCTACCGAGCGCAGATGAGTATGAGGGAGCGCTTCATTGCTCGCTGATGGAGGGGTCTCGCCGCTACAGCCTATTGGAACGCAGCCTTCACCTTGACAGCATTATGGACCGCCCATTTGCCTCGATAAAGCGCGCTTCGGTGCTGGCGGCGGTGTCGCGTGTGGAAGGGAAACCGCACCATACCGCAGCAGAGGAAAACCAAAAACGATCACCGGTCCGTGCAGCTACCCTCTTAAAAGGTGCCGCGCTTCGACGCGGTCTTACTTTTATTTGGGACGACGTACGGCACGGGGAGAGTAGCGAGGAGGCGGCAAATCGCTTTACTGCCAGCGTCTTAGTCTTTTGGTGGATCATCGAGAGGCGTGCGAAGCTTCACGACGTGATAGACTCTGTGAATGGGGGAGATGTCAAGGAGACGCAAGACAAAGGAGCCTTGGATGGTCGTTCGTCGTGGGTCTGGGAGAATGCCCACCCCCGCGTGAAGAGTCAGTGGCTCACCTGGTGGTGTGTCACCAGCGATGACTCCGCGAAGAGGTCTGGCGAGATGAATACAGGGCAGCTTCGACTTTTGACAGAAGCACTGCAGCTTCATAACGGCAATGCTCTGGCCTTGTACCTGACTGGGCGGCACCACTTGTGGCGCAGGCAGCTGACCCACGCAGCGGAAGCGTACCTTCGCGCCCTGGAGTCTACACGGTGCTTTGACAATGCGTTATATCGTGTCTCCGCCGTTGGTCTTGGCTGGGTGCACCTGCACCTCCACCGCTGTGGTGGGTTTGAGGGCAGTGGGATAGACTTCCTTGCCCTTCAGGGAGCCCCATCTGAGCTGCGGGAATCGTGGTGGCTGCGGCAGTGGGAGGCACGCACGGTGCATGAATCACAGCAGTGCGGCGCCACGGTCACCGCCACCGAGGAGACGAACGCAAGCAACAAGGATGCTGTGCATCACTTGACACGCGCCTCCGCTCTGTTTCAGGCCGTGCTTGCCTTTGACCCCGACAACAAGGGGGCCTTGTGCGGGATGGGCCGCGTGAAGATGTTAAACGTCGAAGCGGAGTGCACGGTGGCATATTCAGCCGCCAGCCGCCACTTTGCAACTGTCCTGGGGGAAACGGCGGCAATACCAAAAATGAGGTGGAGGCGAAAGCTGAATTGGGAAAACGACATTACGGCCTTTGACAATTGGCTGTGGGAGTCTCGCGCCGCATACTGGATAGGGGAGATTCATAGATGCAGCCTGGAGACAGACATCGAGGCACGTGAGACACAAGGATGCTGTACGGGGGACGTGAAGGCGTGGTGGGAGTATGCGGTGCAGCGATGCCCACAGAACGATTGGGCACTCACCGCACTAGGCCTTCTTTGCGTGCAGCATCCGCTGCAGAACCACCACAACGACGCCGAGATGACGAGGCAGTGCGCGAGGGGTGTGGAACTGCTGCAGCGTTCGCTGGCCATGAATACAAACAACACCTGGACTCTGTGGGGCCTCGCGCATCACTCGCCTGACGCAACGCAGTGGCAGACGTGCTGCATGCTGCTGAAGAAGCTACTACGCAAGTGAGCTTGCGCGTATATGTACATGTGTATGTTTGTGTGCGTGTGAGCGTGTGTGAGATGTACGTATGGACCCAATGCCGTTGTTATTATCATTGTTTTTTTTTATTTGGTTTTGCTGGCCGGGTTATTCCTCTGTTCTTTTGTTGTTTTCTTTCTTTTCATCCCCGCTCCCTCTTTTTTATGTTTTTCTCCCTGTTTTGAGACTGTGGATGCGTTTTGCGTGTGCAGTGGCCTGAGATGCTCTCACTTTGTGTGTGCTTTTCTTCACGCCGTTGGGATTTACTTCTTTGTTTTGCTTTGTTTTCGTTTTCGTTGTCTTAATTCCCTCCCTCTCTCGTGCGGTACATACACGCCACGGTGGTGCCGCAACTCACCGCCATTTTCCCCCACCCGTTCGCTGCAGCACAGGAGGAGGAGAATCGCCGCTTCTGCAGAGTTGTCTGCGCCACCCAGTAGCAAGGAGGCACGGCACAGCGGCAGCGGCAGCGGCAGCGACAGCGACAGCAAACAAACAAACACAGCAACAACAAGAAAGGAGGTGGGGGAGTGGCGTCAGCAACAAGCGAAAAAAAAGGCGGGCGGTGTGTGTGTCATGTCTGTAAGCACCAGCGCAATAGCCGCTGACACCTCGTGTATTCCCGTTTCCTCCTGCGCTGATGGTTCCTACGCCCTGCTCGGTGGCGATGACGCCGTGCGCGGTCGTACGTTAACACCGCCACCGCCACCACCGCCGTCGTCGTCGACGCTCCTAACCGACAATGGAATAACGGGGGAGGAGCAGGAAGGATCTCACACGCATGGTCATCCATCTGCGAACCCCTTTTCTGGCTGCGCCACCTCCTGCGTGTCCTGGCACTACGACCCCTCCTCTGCGTCTCATCACCAGGCGCACTCGCGCGCGGTGCCGATGTCGCTGGAGCTCACCGGGTATCATATAAACACCGGAGCGACGGACACCACTCCGCTGCGGCATGCAGAGGTGCGGGAGATGCTGGTGACCACAGAGCGGGAGTTGGCGGAGGCGAGGGAGGAGTGTGCACAGCGGGGCTCGGAGGTGGATGCCCTCCGCATGGCTCTGGCGCGGGAGCAGGGCATAAACCAGAGCGCCCAGGCGCGGCATGAGGAGTCTCTGCGAGAGTTGCGTGAGGAGCACGCGGAGCAGACGCAGCGGCTGCTGGACCAGATCACACTGTTGAAGCGGCTGTCTGAGGGGGTGATGGAGGAGAAGTCAAGGCTTACGGAGGATGCTTCGCAGCGGAAGCAGCAGCTTCTCGCCCTGCTGGATCGTGAGCGGGAGGAGAAGAGTCAAATCATGGCGGACTACCGGCAGCAGACGGAGGCCCTCATTGCCGACCAGGGAAAGGAAATCACCTCGCTGCGAGGCACGCTGCAGTCACTGCGCGAGGAACAGGAGCGCCTATTCACCGAGCAGCAGGCGCTCGAAGAACAGAAGCAGGCGCTGGAGCAGAAAGTGTCGCAGCTTGGGGAGAAGCTCGCCAAGGAACGTATGGAGTGTGAAAATAAGCTGCAAGAAGCGAATCAGCGCCACGCGCGCAGACTGGACGAGTTGATTGCGCAGAACGAGGAACTCTCGAGTCGCATGGATGGGGAGGTCAGTAAACTGCAGGAGCGGCGTCAGGAGCTGGAGGACCAGGTGCGGAGCCTTACGGAGCGGCTGCGGCGGCAGGAGGAGAGCTACGTGTTGGAGCAGCAGACCCTGAAGGAAGCGTACAAGCGCGAGGTCTTGGATATTCGCAACGAGCTGCAGGCGGCGATGGAACAACGCGAACAGCTGGAGGAGCAGCACCAGAAGGACCGACAGAAACTTTTAAAAAATGAGGAGAAGCTTATCCAGTCGCTGCGCCAGGCAGTAGAAGACATGCGACAGGAGAAGGAGACTGTGGCCAAGGAAGCGGCGCAGCAGCAAGGAGAGATGCAGGAGAAGCACTGGGCGAAGGTCAACCAGCTGCAGAGCACTGCAGAAAGTCTGCGACGCCAGCTTGCAGAGGAAACGGCGCTGCGAAAAGACGCGGAGTCGGAGCGGGATCTTGTAACGGTGCGGGCGGATGGTCTGCAAGGCACCGTGAACCGCTTAACGAATGAGCTGGAGACGCTGCAGGTAGAGTACCGTGCCCGGGAGCGGGCGGCTGGGCAGGAGCGGCAGAATAGCTTGGATCAGCTACGTTCGCAGCTTCGCGAGCGCGCCGGTGAAGTGGAGGCATTGCAGCAGGAGGTTACACGGCGCGAGATGGAGGAGCATAGGCTCCGCGACGAACTGGTGGCAAAGGTGCAGGCCTTGCAGAACACTCGGGCGGAAAGCAAACGGTTGCTGGAGGAGATGCAACAGGCCGCCGACGATCGAGAGCGGGAGACGGTGGAACGGGAGAGTGAGCTCTCGAAGACCGTCATGCTTAGCCGGGCACAAAAGACGCAAGTAGAGGCCGAGTGCCAGCGTCTGCAGCGGGCCATCGCGGAGCTCGAGGGGCGCCAACAGTCGTGCGAGAGGCAGCTAGCGGAGGAGCGACATGCCCTGGAGGCGGCGACGGCGGCGGCGCAGCGATCGAGCGAAGAGGCGGAGGAGAACAAGGCGGTCCTCCGTCGGTCACAGACGCGCCAGCAGGAGCTCGAAGAGGAACTGCGACGCAGAAGCGACGACCTGGCGGCCGCGGAGTCGCGAGTGGTAGAGCTAGAGGCCGCGCTCGAGACGGCCACTAGTGAGACGGCGCAGCAGTCTAAGGAGGCGGTGCGAGCTGCAAAGGCCCACGAGGCGGAGTTGCAGTCGTTGCTGCAGCGACAGCAGGCGGAGGTGGCGGCGCTGCGCCTCGCGGCGGACCAGATGCGTGGCGATGTCGCTAAGGCACGCGAGCTGGCCGCGGTGAAAGATGAGGAGATGCACCGCCTGCGCGAGGAGGTGAACCAACTCCACCGCGACGCGGCAATGCAGACGGGGTCCTGGCAGGATGAGCTGGCGGAGTCCAGGGAGGTGCACGAGGAGGACATGCGGCGCATGGACGAGGTGCTTTACACGCTGCGCGCCAATCTCGGCCGCGCACAGGCAGCCAAGGTGCAGTGCCAGAAGGATGCGGCGCAGCTGCAACGTGAGGCGGAGCGGCAACGTGCACAACTTGAGGATATGCTTTCGCAGATGGAAGCGGCGAAGGAGAAGCTGCAGGAGGACGCCCGCTATCGTGAGCAGCTTAACAACGAGCTGCAGGGCACAGTGAAACTTCTCTCCTCACGACTCGCGTCACAGGAGGACGACATCCGACGGATGCAGGAGGAACTGGCGGATGTGAACAGCAAGCTGCACAACGCACACACCTTTCTTGGGCGGAAGGATGCCACCATCGGGCAGTTGACCGCACGACTCCGTGCGTACGAGGCGAGGACCGGGGTGTCTTTAACGTGACCTCCGGCAGCGTGCCCTATTCTCACCGTGGCCCCATTACCAACCTCGCCAATCATTCCCACCGCCTCCCGTTGCTCTCCCACTCCCTTCTTTTACTGTCTGGCTGGTGCCGCCTTCGCTCTCCGCATTGATCCATCCGCGCATACCACTTGTGTGTCGCACGTACAGTGTGGCGGGGAGGCAACAGAGACAGGCAGAGTGCTGCACGTATGCAACTACGCAGTAGCTGTAGTAGTAGTGGTGGTGGCTGTAGTGGTGGGAGGAGCGGGAGGACAAAAGATTATCTTTATTGTTGTTATTTTAAAGGAAGAGGGAATGCAGGCATACGTACAAGTACATGCATTCATACATATATGCGTATCTTTCTCTCTCTCTCTCTCTCTCTTTCCTTCTTTGTCGAAGGAGCGAGAGAGGGGAGGAGGGGAAGAAGAAGGCGGGTGTAATAGTGGCGCCACCGTTGGGGCCCTATCCGAACTGAATACATATAGATACGTAGAGAAGGAGAGAAAGAAAGATGGAAACAAAGAAAGAAGGAGATAAAGAGATAGCAAGAAGCAGGGGCGCCTTCGCACCGCTTTGCTTGTTGTTTGTGCTGGTGTCATTATTTCTGTTTTTTTTGTCTCTATATATTTTATTCTGC